GTGATACGCGCTTGTGTATTTTTGACAAATATTTATTTAACAAAGTGGCCAGTAAGCGCCTTACGTCACTGATTAATAGGCGCTAGTGTTATTTTGATAATTATTTATATAAAAGAGTGGCCAGTAAGCGACCCGGGTCTTTAGGTGATAGGTGCTTCTGGTATTATTAATTATTTATTTAACTGAGTTGCCATATATTAAGCAACCCGGGTCATGAGGTGATTAGCGCTTGTGTCATTTTAATAATTATTGATTTAACAGAGTAACTAGTAAGTGCCTCTAGTCCCTAAGTGATAGGCACTTGGGCTATTTCAAGAATTATTAAATCAACAGAGTGGCCAGTCTGCGTCCCAAGTTACTGAGTGATAAGATCTTGTGTTATTTATTAATTATTATTTATTTAACAGAGTTTCCAGTAATCGCCATGGGTCATGAGGTAATAAGCGCTTGAGTTATTTTAATAATCATATTGTTAAATAGTGGCAAGTAAGTGCCCTGGATTATTAAGTGATAGGCGCTTGTGTTATTTTGATCATTATTCATATAAAAGAGTGGCCAGTAAGCGACCCGGGTCTTCAGGTGATAGATGCTTGTGGTATTAATAATCATTTATTTAACAGAGTTGCCATATATCAAGCACCCTGGGTCTTGAGGTGATTAGCGCTTGTGTCATTTTAATAATTTTTTATTTAAGAGATTGGCCAGTAAGCGCCCTAAGTCACTGAGTGTTAGGCGCTTGTGTTTTTTTTTATAATCATTTATTTAACAGAGTGGCCAGTAAGCGCCCCAAGTCACTGAATGATAGGTGCTTGTGTTATTCATAATTATTTAATTAACAGAGTGGCTATTTAGCGCCCCGGGTCATTGGGTGAGAGGCACTTGTGTTACTAATTTTACAATTTTGAATTTCTGCGTTTCTTTGGCAATGCGTCTTTACTGCAGTGCTGTCTGCTCGACGGAACATTCATCCTATATCGTATAGCTATATACACGATCTAGTGAAGAAGTTCTGATATTGAATCCGCCTTATCCAACGCTGATGATTAGCACGGGGTGATTAGTGATTAGGTGAAATAGAATCACGCAATTATCGTAGCTGCACTATACCACTCAACAGATGGCGTAACAGAGATTGTGCTGTAGAGTACTGGGTAAACGGTGCATCTGCTCGTTGGTCGTATTTTTGCCAAGATACTAACTTTACTAATTTTCATGTGAATTTTAGACTAGTATCGCTTTTATTTGAGGAAATATAACATTAAAAAGTAATCCAACAATTATTAGGTTCGAGGACTGTTGAATAATACCTTGTTTGTGGCAGAATTGAGGACCCTTATGATTCGTGGAGATCCGAACTATTTTTGTCATATTTTATTCTGGTGAAGAAATTTGTTGGTATTAAAGTAGTGTCATATAGTTTTTTTTTATAAACCAGCTCAACTTACATTAAGAGATAGAAAATATAAAGTTGTCAACTACTAAGTTACTACTAAGAAATCCGTATTAAGTTCCATTGCGCACAAATGTGATAAAAAATAATAGACTATAGCCGAGGCCCGAGGGTGGTCAAAATATTAACCAGCCGCTACTCGCATTAGAATTGAGGACCCTTATGATTTGTAGATATCAAAAATATTTTGGTTGTATTTTATCGTAGTGAAGTTTTATGTGGTAATTATAGTTGTGCCATATGTTGTTTTTTATAACCCAGCCGCAACTTACACTAATAGATATAAAATGAAAAGTTTACCCATGGAGTTCCAGTTGCGGCAAGATAAAAATGCATTTTGTACACGAAAATCAACCTTAAAAAAATTAGACCCACTACCTGATCTTATCTATAATACTCATTTTAGATAACAGATGAGGCATTGTAGATAACATTGTAGATAAGAATACTTTTTTTTTTTTTGGAGGTTGATTTTCGGGTACAAGATGCATTATAATCTTGCCGCAAATGGCATATATTCAGGATTTTTGCGAATCATTAAGTTTTTTGAGTCTGGTGTGAGTGGCGGCTGGTCAACATTTTGACCATTTTCGGGCCTCAACTCTTGGTCTACTAGTATAAGTCTATTCTGCACGAACTAAACTGAGAAAGGGTGGGGGAACTTTCTCTGGGGCAATTTGAGCTTTTTCTTTTTGCCTACGTGTGATCACGACCCAACCCTTAATAATTACTCGCTATATTTAAAAATTTCGTTACGTTCGATTATATAAATTGATGTACATTCGTTATCCACAAGTAAAGAAAAATCCAATCAAACAGGCAGAGTTAATTTTTAACACTCTTTTGCGCCTCAAATAATAGTTTTTGTATTCCAGCTCTAGGCTCATATATACTTTTTATTTTGCATATTTCGTAAACAATTGACTTACGAAAAAATATAAGTGGCGGTTGATTTTGTAAGGAACGAGTAATACTTGTTCACTAGTTTAGAAGTCTCCCGATTTTCCTTGTCTTCTGTACGGACTCTAGCAGAGCTTGCTTGACTACTCTATGAGTACCATCTCTGGGGTCCCATTTTAGTATTTTTAAATTTGTAAAACAGTAATAACAGTTTAAGATGTCTGTCGTTCAAGTCAATTCAAATAAAGATTTTCAGGATATTATTCGGTACGTTTTTCATGTTACTTATTTTTCTTATCTTGTTCTATGTAGTTAAGAAAAGCATTGCCGTGTTTGAGAATAAATTCAAGTGATGAAATAAGTTATGCAGCTCTTTTTATAAGTCAGTATTGTAACATTGTCTATAAGTAATCTTAGAATAAATACAGCATATTGAAATTTGGTTTGACTTCATTTCTCAGGGACTCATTGCATACCAAAAAAATATTCGAAAGTTTTTCCAAAACCCTTAAGGTGGTTCTTTCATGAAATGATTATAAACAGAATGGCATGAAATCTTGAGAAATCATTTATTGAGTTACAATAAACTACCCCTCAAAATTTTAGAGTAGGCTGACGAATATAAAAGCAAGAAAATGATAATTGAGAATGAAATTCTAAACATGTGCACTTATGGCAACCAAGCATTTTTTTTATGAAAGTTGTAGCCTATAGTTATTTATTTACTGAACGTCATCAAATAAAAAGTTGACACAATAGAGCTTACGCGATTACTAACACTGTTATCTTGAAATATATGTGCTCACAGACTTAATTAAATGATATTAAAAGAAACACAGGCATACATTTTCGTTTTCTATGTTGAAAGCATAGGTAAGCATCCACTGCTGGTATTTTGAGGATAAGCGCGAATTATATATAATCATTTCTACGAACTTTCATATCGTATATTACGATCTAAAATTTTAAATCGGTACTCTCTTTGCCTCATTAAACAATATTAACAAACAATCGTTAAAAATTTAAGCAGCACTAATAAATATCAACTTGACAGTGCAGTCGCACCTTTGTCTCGGGAGTTATGATAGAACCATCACCTTAATGGTGTATGCAAAATTGATTCATAAAATAATAAAGCTCTGTATCATTGGTATACTCTAGTGATCATCTACATCAAACATACCTTCTGACTGAAAATGCTCATAATGCAACAGCTTTGTTACAATATATTATGACATTTACAGAATATATAGTGGCTATTGGGACAGTGTTTCTAACAATCTAAAAAGCAAGAGTTCTCGCGCAAGCGCACAACGATTTTACTCTCTCCACGTCAGGCAGGCACTGCCAGGCAGTGGAGGGAGAGCTCTCCCTACCGTACCTTTAACCTAAGCCCCGCCTACTTTCACAGCTTAAATATAATCTAATGNTATTAAGTTGAACAACAAAAAGCTATTTGTAAAATTGCAAAAAAGTTATTAGTGTTTCGTTAATTAATTCTCTAAAGTAAAAATTTGAAGTGTTGTTGCAAACTTTACTGCCAGTTAACCGACATTTTGCTTCGGTAAAAACATTGTATTTGACATAATTAATCATAACAAAAAAAATAATTTGATTTTTTTTAATTTTGACGTTTTTTCACGAGAAATTGCATTTTGCAACTTAAACAATTGCAAAAATCTCCATCAATTTTGCATATTTTTGGTTGCAATAAATGGCATTGTATTCGTCATAAAAAAAGCTACGGTTGTTGGCTATAGCTATAGCTGTACCTAGTCGCAAGAGAGAGGTACAGATGGGAGCGCTGAGCTGCCTTGGCTGTGAAAATGTTACTTTCTTGATTTTTTTAGCTTCTCTTGTAATAAAAATGATAAAATGCTCCGTCAGAGTAATGCAGAAATACATGAAGATGATTTACAAATTTTTTCTTAATAAAAAACTTAATTGTTAATCCGTTATTGCAAAAAATGTAAATTTCTTATATCTCAGCTTCAGAGTAAGCTAGAGCATTTTTTTTTTTAAATTTGTGTTTTTATTATGACGAATACAATGCCATTTATTGCAACCAAAAATATGCAAAATTGACGGAGATATTTGCAATTGCTTAAGTTACAAAATGCAATTTCTCGTGAAAAAACGTAAAAATTAAAAAAAAATCAAATTATTTTTTTTGTTATGATTAAATATGTCAAATACAATGTTTTTACCGAAGCGAAATGTCGGTTAACTGGCAGTAAAGTTTGCAACAACACTTCAAATTTTTACTTTAGAGAATTAATTAACGAAACACTAATAACTTTTTTGCAATTTTACAAATAGCTTTTTGTTGTTCAACTTAATACCTATATTTTCACATGGTTACATTCAAATTGACACGATAGTTTTTTTCCCACGTCGATCAAAAGTTGCTTGGTGTAAAAATTTGTTTTTTGCATTTAACCGCCCATAACGTGTTATTAACAATAAATAATGTATTTGAAAAAGTGTCTATTTTATAGGAAATTTGATGACAAAGAGATTCGTGGTCGAAAAATTTATCTACGAGTAATAGAAGCGGAGATATAAGNTTTTTTTTTTTTTTTAAGAAAAAATTATGTTTTTTTTAAATAATGACTAGAAAGTTGAAAAGGAATAAATGTTATTGGATTAATACTTAATCGAATTGTTTATAATTTGACGACTACTATGGCTCTTATCTTTTTTTTCGAGTGGTTTCCCCAAGTAGGCCTAGTCCACTTGTTATGTCTGTATCAATTTAAACAGTAACAAGTTAATAGAAAAAAAAACGTTAAACGCAACAGATGAAATAATGATGTATATTACAAAATATAAGTATTAATAAGCTTTGTTAGATTGTACAATAAAATAACATTTACATTATTGATTCAGACATTTAAGATCTATAAATAAATTTCTTAAGCATTACATCTATACATGACTAGCTAATGAGCACGTTTGTGATATCTGCATCAATGAACATTATACTGATTATTTCATGCATAACAAGCAAACGAACAAGAAGAAAAACAGATGTGAATGAGAATATTTACAAGACTATTTACAAAATCATTTACTTTGAGATTCCTGTTTTGGAGTGATATTAACTTTATGTTTATACATCGTCGAATTGAATAAATCAAGATGATTAGATGATTTTTTGTTGCTACAAAATTTAATGCAGTTATACCGCCGACGGAAAAATAAGACCGAATGAAACAAATTGACTCTAATGAATCAATTTCCATTTTATTCCTTTTTTTTTGCTTGACGTCGGTAACAATCGAAAAAACTCTTTCTGGCTCAGCATTAGAGTGCGGCAAAGTTAAAACAGCTTGGACCAATATTTTTAAATTTGGAAATAACAAATCACCGTTTTCAGAACGCATATTAACAATTTTATTCCAAAATACATCGACTTCTAATTGACACAATTCAGCTTAATCGTTAACAAAATACGTCGGCTACAACGCGATTTCTTTCTTTTTAATAATTCATAGTTGACATCGCTGTACGGGAAAAACCATTCAAGATCTTGTACTATGTTCGGGTTTTCACTCCAAAACTCGTTGCTCAAAGCATTTGCAGGTTGTAGAAAATGAAGTGAATGTAAAATGTCATCATTTTTAAATAAAGATTTCTGAATTTCTGTTAACGCTGTTGTGTAAAATTTTAAACAATTTTCTCGAATTTCTAACTCATCTGTTTTTGGAAGATTCTGCAAAATTGAAGCACATGCATCACCAACATCTACATCTTTTAATGGCTTGTAATCTTTATTACTCACTTTGTAATTACTATCTTTGGCAATTTCTTTTATAGCAGTGGCATTGAGAAAATTTGAACTAATAGACGTTAAAATTTCTGAACATGAGGTGCTGACTTTGTGAATCATAGTGTTTTTTGTTTGAAAAGTTGCATTAAACTTATTAAAGTCTATTAAAATGTAGTTTAAAAATTCCAAATATGCCATTACTTTATCGTCGTCTAACAAATTGTTTATAAAGTGTGGTGAGCTCTTCTTTTCATCATTACCACTGTTGGGCGGACTTTTATGACATTTGAGAAAGAAATAAGACTTTAGAGCTGGCCAATTATCAAGAACGCTATCAGTACAATTACGAAGAGAGAGCCATTGGGTGTTGGCTAGCTTTAAAATTTTTTTAGTCGAAATTTGATAAAAAATTTGAAAATCTTAAAAATTAACGTTTCTTTTTGAACTGTTGGAAAAATACTTTGAAATGGCTTGAAGCAACTGCTGGCACTCTACTGGAATACTCGCGCAACTTTTTTTGGCAACTAACGCAGATGTATGACATATACATGGTAGTAAAATAACATTAGGAACTTTTTTTTTTAACAAAGTATAAAAAAAATTTTTTGAACCCGTCATAATACTCGCAGTATCACAGCTTAAACTTGTAACATTTTGAAGAGAAACTTCATTCTTTACAAAACAACTCTCAAATGATTCGAAGAGTTTCTTAGCACCACATTGTCTCGCGTCTAATTCAATCAATGTTAAAAGATGTGATGCAAATTTACCATCCTCAGGATCAATATAATTTACACCAACGCACAAAATTTTTTTCAAAGTGATTTCCGTTGATTCGTCAATCAAAACAGAAAATCGTTGATTTTTTAAAATATTCAATACTTTTTGTCGTTCACAGACGCTCAAAACATTAGTAATCAAACTTGCGCATTTGTCTTTTTTTATGCCCATTTGTGCAGCAATCTCCGGCTTTTTACACATCTTCTGCATAAAAGGGATGAGATCGTTAACAAGCTGAACAGGAACATTATGTTGTGCTAAAAATAAAGCGGTTTGTAACTCATACTCTTTAACTAGAATGTCATTTTCTTCTTGACTTACAACAGAAATGTTCTTCTGTTTTATAACAACGTTAACAGTATCTTTATGTGTTTGAGTTTTAGCGTGCCTGATCAAATCTTGTTTATTGTAGCACGTGATATTAACACCGCAAAGGAAACAGTGAGCAGGTTTTTCGAGATTTATTTCATCTTTGGGAAGCCAGTCTTTGAATTAAAGCTCTTGTAACCACCTATCAATAAAAATACATGATTTTTTGGATTTTTTTAGTGTGTCAATATCCGTCCCGCTTTTTCGTTTCTGCTTTGACGAATTTTTTGCATTGGAAGACATGTTGATTTATTTTGTTGTTAAAATATTGAAAAATTGTAGTAACAAATTAAAATGATATGAAGTTTAGACAATAGTAAAGGAAAAAAAATTTACAATTTATGTA